CCCGCCTGCAAGTTGAGAAGATCGAAGCTGAGGAACGACGTCGTCAGGACAAGATGGAGATGGAGGAGCGAGCGCGTCGTGATCGCGAAGTTGCTCAAGCTCGTACTCAGGAGCTCATGCTGCTGATCGGAGCGATCACGAAGAAGGCCTGAATAGTTGTCAGCGACAGAAGGCTTCATCTGGACATGCGCAATGCAACGAGGCAACTTAATCTCAAATCAAGTAGCGTGATACCTGCATAACATTAGCCTCGACAATGAAAATCCAAACAATTGTACGTATCAACCTTGTTCATGTTCACCTCCGTTGAAAGTGACAACTTCACGATCGTATTAAAAATCAATAAACAAACTATTAGTTGTTGCTAAGGCCAACGCAACCAACTAAAGAAAATGAATTCTTCATTACAAACAAACTAATACAAGCGCGTGGATACCTCCATTTCACCGGAGAATGTCGTTCGAATCTGCGAGATGCCTACAGTCCGCACACGGTAATACGCCATGTGAAACAAATTGTTCAGCCTGAGTCCGCGAAGCTCCGGGTCGTAAGGCAACGGAAGGTTGAGGCGGGAGTAAACCTTTTGGACACTCCCAATGCCCCATTCGGCCGCCTGCCTCACCGACGTGATTGCGTTGTGAAGGGTCCGTGCTGAACTCCGGACCGACGGCGTCAGTCGCTCCAGATCGCCGTCTTTGAGCGGTGTAGGTATGCGACCTGTCATTTCGGTAGAGCACGGGAACGCGGAGTCTGACACGACGTTCTTGCGCGGATCTGGACAGTATGTAGGATCGAGAAGCCTGTTCCGGAAGCCTAGGGACGTGTCGGAGTCGTTCCACGATCCTGGACAGTTGTGTTTGCACCAAATAATGCATCCATCTGCCGCGAAGCAGATTGTTCCAGTCATAAACACCGAATGCAACCAGCCATTGTACATGGCATTCTGGAGGTCTGCATTTGAAGGCTGCTGGACCTGCGAAGTATCACACGTTAAATATGAATACAAATTTACATCCGAAAAA